TTAATTTCCTTTTTTTTTCCTTTCTGTTCATATCGGTTTTGTTGTTTGTGAGATTGGAAAAGTGGATTACTGAGACAAGTAAAAGATTTCACGTGAGAGGAAAGGTGTCAGTCATAGTGAGCTCGTGAATTTCACATTTCATTTTCTACCCTTAGAGGAGTCTTAAAATAATGTTAAATTATTTTGGCGTGATTTATAGGCTACGAATTCAAGCTATTAAATTAGCCACTAATACTTGAATCAGAATAAATTGATTATATCATATTCTATTGGAGTGCGATCCTTTTTCGAATCTTACAAAAATACAAAATATTTTGTACACCTAATTGTCATTTTATCATTATCCAGTTATACACATAGTTGGTAGTATGTTCTTCTGACTAACTGTTGTTTTCTTTTATTGTTGATCACCTTACTACCATATTGTTTTTATTCTGCTTTTATATGGCTTTGTGGTACTGTCTCTTCTTGTCTATATTTTTATTAATGTGGTGCTTATGCTTTCCTCAGCCGAGAGTCTATTGGAAACAGTCTCTCTATCCTCACAAGGTAAGGGTAAAATCTGCGTACACACTACCCTCCCCAGACCCCACGGTGTGGATAATACTAGGTATGTTGTTGTTGTTGTTGTTGTTGTTGTTGCTAGTTATACACATAGTCATAACAACCTCTACTTGTACTATGTGAATATTAAAATTATAAATTTTGGAGGATATGTTGGTGAACCCAGAATTTAAAACTTATGAATTTGAGATTGCAGTTCATTTAAGCTACTGAGATTTAAATTAATTAATAGTTTATATATCAATAAAATTTTTAAATAAATATAAAATTTGAATCAAAGCTATTGGGTTCGGTCAAACTCATAAGAATACGTAGATCTGCCCTTGCATGTTGGTCCGTGAATAGTAAAAGGGGAAACGAGATCCTGTACTTTAATTATGCAAGGAAAAGTTGTAGTTAGTTGTGTAGTCGTTTGGATTACCTAAGATCTACTATATTTTAAGAGTTAATTTGGTATATTTCAAAAAGAAATTAATAGATAAATTGGAAATAATATCTTGGAGGTACTAAAACCGTATCTTTCTAATTTCTGGAAAACAAGTATTCTGAAAAAAAAATTGTATATGAAGTTTTCGCTAAATAAAAGCCCGGTTGGATAGAGTTAACGTTGATTGAATTTTGTGAGTTTATACGTGAAACTAAAAGGAAAAAATATTTTGTTCCAACAATACCTTCAAAAAGGTTTCCACCTTCAGATCAAGAATCTGAAAATAGTGACACGTTTCGGATATTAAGCTTTCATTTGATCTAACAATTTGGGACTTTTTTTAAATTTTGTTTTCAAATATATGTTTGTTTATAAATTTTAAATATTTCTTGGCAGATTTTGAAAATAAAATCTGCAAATTCCAAAAATAGTTCTAGAGTAGTTTTCGAAGTTACTCGAATTCTTTTCACATGTCCAAACACAATTTTAACTTTCAAAAACTTTTTTTCATCTCATCTTCAAAAACTCATATTTTCAAGTTTCAGCCAATACTATATCCAAACGCTAGCTAAATAACATTATCATGAGCTCTAAAAAAGGGTGGGAATCTATATAAAGGAAAAAATCCATTCATCTTTTTGAAAGCGCCAAATATTCTATTCATCTTTTAGAAAAAAATTCAACCAAGGTTCCTTTTCTCCTTTACCTTTCCCAAATGTTTTTTTTAAATTTTTTTATGTCGTTATAACTAGTGAGCTCGGTAAATAATAAAAGCAATGAGAATAAGTGGAAAAGTTTGATTTGATAGTAAGTGGTATAAGTTGATTGCATTGCATTATTATTGACAGAAAGCGTAGAGAAAAAGTTGAATCTTTTGTTAGATTTTAAGGTACTTATTATACAAAGTGAATATTTGGGGGAAAAGGAGACTGATTAGCAAATAATGAGCTCACTTTCTTTGAAAGAAAAAAACTAGGAGCCCGTTTGGACATAAGAAATTTTTTACTTTTTTTTTAAATCAGCGTTTGTTTATAAAATTTTCAATATTCACTTGAAGATGCATTTTGAAAATTTTCGAAAATTTAAAAAACTCCAAAAAACTGTTTTTTTAAAATTTTCACTCAAATCACTCACAAAACTTCATAAACAACTCAAAATTATATTCATGTCCAAACACAATTCTAAATTTCAAATATCATTTTCACTTAATTTTTTTCCCCTATTTTGAAATTTTACAATTCTTATGTCCAAACGCAAAGTGTTGAAGAATTTTTCGCAAAAAAACGTGACATTTGAAGCATAAAATATTGCAAAAAAAGTTGTACGTCACTCCAGGTTATTAAAAATTTGGAATGAGCTACCTATGACATTATATGTCAAGCTTGCCAAAACATTGTGACGTATGACAAAATATTCTAGTAACAGAACCATAATTTGGGATAATTTGTTTCTAAACTAAGAAAGTAGAATCTTTGAATAACACTGTCAATAAGTATAAGACCTTGCTAGCTAGGAAATATGAAATTTTACTTTATGATATAACCCTTAATTTTATGCCGATAAGAGTAGATTAAAGAAGAGTTAGAATTAAGAAAAATATATAGAATTGAAGGGTAAGAAAATTGTATGTTTAATTTTCCTATTCGGTTATGGATTTTTAAAAACCTTCCCTAGCTAATTCTAATATCTTTATACTCTATATCTCTTGTCCATAAAAACACGTACGTATTAGAGAAATTTATAACGTATGTTAGCGGTCTCGACTCTTTTCTGGTTGCAAGTTTCAAGTATGCTGATTTATGTCAGAAGTCCCGTCCCATTAAAATACAACCAACAACTTTTTCCATCTCAACATATGAGGGTCAAAATGTGTAATTTTCAGTATAAATTCAAATATTAATTATAATTTTTTAAATGAAATTACTATATTTAGAAATTATATAGAAGTGCTGTAACTCGTGGAGTATAACATTAAATGTTTAAAAAATAATTTGAAAAGGTAAAAGCAGATATTTGGATCTCCAAATAATAATAATTTCAAATAAAATGAGACGCATGAAATGCTAAAGATAGGCACAATTTGTGTAGAGCTTTTCCACAAGAACATGCAAATGCAATCATGCTCTCATCTCTGTTTTAGATGTTTGAAATTTCAAAATGTACAGTGTTTCTTTTTGTGTTTAGGTATGAAAAGAATACAAGAGATAAATGGTCATTGAACTGTAGAAAATAATTTTTTCTTGAGAGAATGGGTGGAATATTAAGAACATTGAAATAAAACAATAAAGAAAAGAAGTATATTGCGAGAGAGGAAATTCTATTGATTTTCATATGAATATTATAATGGGGTAAAGCCCTCTATTTATTGGGGTACAGGGAAAAAATAATTTAGTCACAAAGTAACAAACTCACTACAAGATAGATAAGAATCCACCAGAATAATTTAAATGGAGTTCCCCGGAGAATAAATTCCGGGAAGTGGTCTAATTAGACAACATCTTGCTTCGAACATAGGAGTTGCTAAGAGTAAAATTAGAGCCACATGCAAGGAAACTTGCACGTGTGGTTCTGGTCGGGGCGACCCCGGTATACTGTACTAATTTGTGTAGGTTCCCATAATTCGAGTGAGATTGTCATGGCGGTTCTAATTTTAATTTACCAGTTATTTGTTTCATAGTTTTTATTTGAGCTGCAGACCCCACTATAGAGCTTTTTCGGTAAATGTCTTGATAGAAGATATGATTTCTTGGAACTGAATTTACTCTAAGTACAATTCTATTCATAACAAACATGAAATATTAGCGTCACAATTGTTTTAAGCGTGAGTTTAATGAAAATGAATTAGGAGTAACTTCACCGTAAACAATGTAAAAGTGTAGGCACTCCTGCTAGCTCCCCTTCTACGCGATCCCGAAACACAACCTCACATCAGAAAACCAGCAACTCCAAACCATGAGGAAATGATCTGAAATCACTATAAAATACATCCGAGCCCCACGGGACCCCGTCCAATCATACCAACAAGTTTAAATACCTTATCTAAACTTATCTAAAGGACTCGCGACTAGTCCCTTGTATTGCGACTAGGCACACAAATCCGACCCTAAAGTCGTAATACACTATCATCACCAATAGTCACCTTCTTAGCATCATGTCGGAACATCCTATCCTCAAGAACAAGTAAATGGGTATCATCCTGCTGGCTAGCCTTGATGCACTCGAACAAAGACAATTGAATTTTAAAATTAAAAAAAAAATTACTGATAAAGTACGAATATGAATTAGTTGAACAAGTTGATATCCAATATGTTATAAAAAAATAAAAAAAAGGAGTAATTTGTATTTGACAAACGAAAAGCAAAGTAACTAAATGCTTATTCTGTGGTCCGCAGCAGCAGATAACAAATACACAGCCAACTCCAGAAAGTGCACTTCAACCCCGCGCCACTCTTCTCTCTCTTCTTCAATTCTTTCTTTCTCTCTCTCTCAGTCCCTCTGTCTCTAACACCCCCCCCCCCCCCC